TTCATGAAAGTCATTTTCTTTCATAAAACGTTTAAACCAGGAAAAACTTCTTATTTTATTCAAAAAGTACTTTTTTTTATCTGAGGAAAGTCCGTTTTCTATTCGTCTGTAAAGTAACCAAATTTATAAAATATGGAGCTTCATAAAAATGATTATTTATGAAAATCCTTTTATGAAATACCCACAGATAAAGATCAAGCTACTCATGTGCTAATTACTAATTAGGCTATGCTACATCGTATATCGTTTAGACAATAGCTATTTAATAAGAGAAAAAACTAGAAAGAAATCTTTTCTTTTCAAACTTATTCAACCGTCCTAAATTTGCCTAATATTCTTATTTTTCTATATTCTTACTTTCTAACTTATATGAGATCTCAAGAGGAAGAGCTGGCTACGTACCACTAGTGGATGATGTGAATGGCTCTATTTGCGGCTGATTACTAGTGGCTCCTGATGTACTTGATGTTTTTGACGTAAATAATGAAGTGAATGATTGAACAGGTGAAGTTGGTTTTATTTTTGATGGTTTAGTTGGTTTCGGTCGTTTAGAAGTCTTTGACTTCGTGACAGGAGAAAGTTTTGTTCGTCCTGTTATTTGGAACAAAGCTGAAACAGAGAAAAAGTGACTCTTGTTGTATCTCTTGTTTAACAGCCTTTACTTGTATTGGTTTCAGTTTTCTGAGTTTGTAAACGTTCCTTTGTAAATGCAGGAGTTTTCTCAGAAGAGAATGAAGTTGGTTGGCGTGGGTTCACACCAGTAGTTTTTGGCGCAATGGTTGAAACGAATAGAGAGAATAACGATGTCATTTGGCTAGTTGTTATTCTTGAACTGTGGATAGCAGTTTTCTCGGGTGTTTGTGTTTCAACACCAGGCTCGTGTGTTCTTGAGATTGTTTTTAATGAGAAGGACGGTGGATTCGAAACATCTTGAGTGAAGGAGACATCTGCAGCTTTACTCGAGGTTGAAGACAGCTGCTGCGGTTGATTACTGACCGTTGATGTCGTGGGTATCTGTAGTGTTGTTGAATTATTATTACTACTGCTGCCATTACCACCGCTCGAGGTTGAAGACAGCTGCTGTGGCTGATTACTGACCGTTGATGTCGTGGGTATCTGTAGTGTTGTTGAACTATTATTACTACTACTACCACCGCTTGAGGGTGAAGACAGCTGCTGTGGCTGATTACTGACCGTTGATGTCGTGGGTATCTGTAGTGTTGTTGAATTATTATTACTACTACTACCATTAGCACCGCTCGATGTTGAAGACAGCTGCTGTGGCTGATTACTGACCGTTGATGTCGTGGGTATCTGTAGTGTTGTTGAATTATTATTACTACTACTNACTACTACCATTAGCACCGCTCGATGTTGAAGACAGCTGCTGTGGCTGATTACTGACCGTTGATGTCGTGGGTATCTGTAGTGTTGTTGAATTATTATTACTACTACTACCATTAGCACCGCTCGATGTTGAAGACAGCTGCTGTGGCTGATTACTGACCGTTGATGTCGTGGGTATCTGTAGTGTTGTTGAATTATTATTACTACTACTACCATTAGCACCGCTCGATGTTGAAGACAGCTGCTGTGGCTGATTACTGACCGTTGATGTCGTTAGTATCTGTAGTGTTGTTGAATTATTATTACTATTACTACCATTACCACCGCTCAAGGTTGAAGACAGCTGCTGTGGTTGATTACTGACCGCTGAAGTAGTTAGTATCTGCAGTGTTGTTGAATTATTATTACTACTACTACCACCGCTTGAGGGTGTTAAACCGAAGAATGTCATATCTAAAGAGGGAAAATAAGTCACATTAGATAGTAGCTTCTTAAATATTATATTCTATTCTTTGAGAGAGTTAACATAAGGACACTGTTTCTCAGTGGCGGCGCACCAGCAAGCAACGGGTTAGCAATTGCTTCCCTTAAAAGCTTGGGGAAGCAATAAAAGTTTATTGCTTCCTCAAAATTTTGGCGCTTTTCAGTATGACGAACAGAGAGAAAGGGACTATAGCGAACGTAATTTCATTTTAAAGTTTATTGCTCCCCCTGAAAAACTGACCTTGCGCCGCCACTGCTGTTTCTAGTAATAAAATATTGAGCAGTCCTGTTAATAAAGGTCGTGTGAAGAGGAAATAATTTTCTAGCGGACAAGCAGAAGACCAAAGACAATTATGTAAATTGAAATCTTCAAACAAGATGGATGCGTCCAACTGTGTCTGAGAAAATTAACATTTTTCATTCAACTCCAGTTTGAGGCTTTAAAGTAGTTTCGTGAAACTTATGCAAATATTTTCAAAAAAACGAAGCATTTGAAGAAAAGTTTTCGCTGGTACAGTTGTTCAGGATAATCCTCTTTATATTAGCTGAATTTAGGGAGAATATGAAGTGGTGACGATAAATTAAAGCATGAACGCCATCTACACTTACAGCTGATCTCATCAAATCGAATGACAGTAAATATTTGAGTTGTTACTCTTTGTACCAGACCGTTTTGACAAATCAGCGTAAAGCAATCAATAGACAAAGACAGGCGAAACTGAACTATCATTTGAGCTAATGTTTCTGAATAATTAACTGCTTTGGTAGCATAAAAATAATGCATTAAATCTTCTACGGTCTGCGATGATGGTCGACGTTTTCTCTAAATATATCCATAGACTCAGTTATGATTCTTTCGTTATTTCAACAAAACTTCATTAGCGTTTTTTCACTTCATAACACCATAATTTCAACGATGTTTTGTCGAAAAAGTTAAAAGCAACATATGAAAGTGCGAAGTTTTATTGGGATTCTAAGATACAGGTTTGAAAACATTATCTGATGCACGTTTTCGTCTACATAGTGAATATAACATTTTTCCTCCGTATGTTGATGATATGCAAACCTTGCATTTCGTTCCTTGCGGTTGATGACGCGGATTTTGTGACGGTTCCCGTTAATCCAACTTGGAGTGTGATTAAAATTGCAGGCTAGTGGTAAAGAGTCTAAGTGGGCAGCATATGCATGACAATGTTAGTTTGTATAACAAACATCTTCGAACAGGAAAATCAATCCAAACATTTCACCATTTATCATTAACTTTACCTAAGATTTTATTCAGATCGTAGTATAGGTCGCTCTTCCTGCGCAATGACTCTAAGGCCCTTCTAGTCGACTGTTTGTGAAACGCAGCAGAAAACGTTACCAAATGACAACATCAGACTAGAAAGGATTCAGTGAAAACCAAAAGGATGTCAAGTACATATGTGGAGAAATGCATCTTCTGTACATCGCTGCAGCGTAGACGTCTACAAACATTTGACTTTTATCGAATGCAGTGCAGTGTTCTGGTGTGAAAGTCACAGATTGGTTTATATGTCTGTATAGAAGAAGGTCTAACGAATCTAACACTAAGAAAATTTTTAATGTGGTCTAAAAATGACTCAGTTATGAGCGAAACATTGAATGAGGATCATCTCTATAGACATCACTCTGTTGTGTTTTTTCCGTTTTCTCATTGAAAGTAACCGTGTATTCTTTTCTTCACAACGCTATGTAACAGAATAAGAAACAAAAGAAAAAAGAAAAGAAAATTGCTATTTGTCGCAGTTCTGTTGAAAAAACGGAAATGATTCTCTTGATAATTTGATAAAATTGACACTGTGGTGAGTTTGCGTTTGATGGAAGATGTCCTTCTACTCTCTCATGTGGTAACACGGACAGAGAGGACGAGAAGGATAAGGAGGATAGAAAGGACGAGTGGGATCAAAAGGATAATAAGGACAATAAGGAGGAAAATGACCAGAAGGATGTCCTCCGTATTCCTTGTCATCCTCTTGTACTCTTTATTCTTAATGTCCTGCAAGTCTATATTCTCATCCTCAGCTTGCCGCAGATACCTACTTAAAGGAAAAGTCTCGATTTTCGCAATTGCAACCTTAGCATCGTGAGATAAAACTGCTGATTGTGCTTCGCAGTGGAACTCTGTCCGCACGCCTCTGTTTCATTCTTAACTCAAATTAACTAGAACAAATTCGAGATGTTAGGGCGCTTAATTATTCTCATTTTGGCGCGGTAAGATCTTAACTCGTCAAAATAAGTCCAAAAGAAGGGAAAGAAACGATATTCGTGTTTAGGCACGAATATATGTTAAAAGTAGCGCGAAAGTAATGGTGCTTAAAAACGGCAATTGAAATATATTTTTTGTGAATTTCCCTGTTTCAAACGTGATTTAAGCTTTTTGGTTAAAGGAACCAAAATGAACAAGAAAAGGAAACCAGTCAAGTGAAATCGTCGTCCTAAGGACCGCATTGTATCTTCTGAGAGGAATCTTTAAACAGAACAAAAGAATAACTTAGAAAGAACTAAGAAAAGAAAAGAAGAAACTTAGAAGAACTTTTTAGAAACAAGTTTATGTTGTCTGAAATGGAAGTTAAGTGCGGAGAAATCCACTCTTAAAGCAAAATCTGCATCCGCTCGGCGATTAATATGCATGGTAATTTGTTAGTAGGTGGAAGTATAATACTTTTTAATTCTTTCCGAAGTGTCTCAGGCTTTGTCTAACGGTTAGTTGTGGATGTGTTAGGATGAGATTTGACCATTCTTTAAGAGCAGTCGGGAAAAAGGACAACCGAAAAAATAAACTTTTATCTGTATAATCGTATAATTTACGCACCCTATCTCGTCTTAAGCTGTATTTTGTTTTCTTTACCTCTACATATCTAACATGTTGAGCACTTAATCTAACTAAACCAAAAATAATCTTATAAATCATGTACATTCTATTAATACAGAATAGCTGAGAGAACGAGAGCAATGTTGATCCTTGAGCAACTTATCTTTAGAAGTACCTTTCATTGCACCACTAGCACTCAAACAGAATTGATATTGACAACTCTCTAATTTTAGAATATTCTTTTGCGTAGTCAATGAGTATATTTAACTGCCATGGTTAAGTAGAGATTGAATAAAAGATTTGTATAAGCATTCAAATGCTAAACAGTTGAGATTCTATTTGAGAAGTCTCATGCAGTTGAGAACAACAGTTATTTTTCCAATTACATAGTCAACATGAGAATCCCACGATAGATTTGAGGCAAAAATAGGCCTAGGTGTTTATGAAGAGTAACTTCAGGAACTGATTTGTTCCGAATTAATAACGGTGAATGATACGAATTTAATGTTATTGCACGTTTATGAAATAACTGGGTCACACATTTTTCCAAATTTAGGGTTACTTGCCATGTAGAACACCACTGCACTATTTGTTCGAGATCTCTGTTTATTGTGTCAGTTGACTTTTGAAGAGAAGATGAGTAGTGAAAGAGATTGGTGTCATTAGCATACAAACTGAAATGAGAATCAAGACCCTCTCCTAGTTCATCAATATAAATGAGAAATAAGAGCGGCCCCAGAATTGATTCTTGAGGGACACGCAGTTTATTTCCAAAAAATCAGACGAAAAACCATCGAAACTGTTCTTATTTTTCTATTATTGAGGTAATTTTCAGTCCACTAAATGCCTTGTACACATACCCTTTTGTCTCAGCTTGAAAATTATTCCTCTATGCCATACACTGTCGAATGCTCTTGTTTCAAATTTTTGATATGCACCGTACGACTCAGTTGAATTTCCTCCTTTGTACTTTTTGCTCATATTATTACTGTTTACTTACGTAATGACAGTTAATATATAGAAAGAATGTATGAATGTTGCCACATCCAGTGACATATTCATCTCGGTTAGCAAATAATGATTATAAGAAAAGTACAATTCCTAGAAACATCCGTGAAAATATCATTAACCCTTTACACCCCATAGCGGTTCCAGAAGAGCCACTGATAAAAACACCAAAGAAATAGAGTATTGGCCTCTGCAATATACCAATGGTATGGGCAGATCGATCAGGCGCACTACCTTTTGTGCAGGGTAATTTGATAACTACAGTGACCATTGAGGCAGAGAAGGGGATGGAACGACTTCAAAAGCCCTACTTCTTTTCTTTTTTAT